ATCCAGCCTGGCCTTGTACACTGCCAGGTTTGGGGCATCCACAACTTCCCTGAGCAACCTGTTTCTGTGTCTTACCACCCTTATAGCAAAGAATTTCTTCCTAAGATTCAGTCTTAAATTTCCCCTTTTTCAGTTTGTACCCATTACTCCATATCTTATCACTGCAGTTCCTATGAAGGAACTCCAGTAAGCCCTCTTCAGATACTGCAGGGTTGCTGTGAGGTCTCCATGCAGCCTTTGCTTCTCCAGGCTGAACAGTCCCACATTCCTCAGCCTGTTTCATTGGAGAAGTGCTCCAGTCCTCTTACCAACTTATGGCCTCATTTGGACTTGTTCCAACAGTTTCACATTCTTCTTTATGCTGGGGACACCAGAACCGCATGCAGTACTCCTGACGGGGTCTTACAAGAGTAGAGTAAGCTTTATTTACTTATTTACTTCATTTAGATACATTCATCATCTTTTATGTGCCTTTACAACACTGTTTAGGACAAGTGTTTTAGAAATTTATTTTTGTTTAGATCAAAACAATTCCCAGCTTTTGTCCTTTATGTCTCACAAGTGCTTTCTCCCTCTGATCATGTTTAAATACAGTATGAAGGCAAAGTTAGATGTTTGAAACAAATGAAGCCCTGTGTGTGTTATTACAGTTCTTTAAAAACTTTCATCCATGTAGGCATTGCTACCAAGCTGTGTTTGGAGGACAGAGCCAGCAGGGGGAACACAAGCATTATTTATCTTTGATTTTGATTCAAAAACAGTGCTGCACCTTTACAGGTTTTTGAAATTTGACATTTTGCCTAAAACTGGCTTGCTTTTTTTGTCTGTTTGTTTGTTTTTTGTTTCACCTGTAACTTTTACATCTCTGTAGAGGAAATTCCTGATGGCCTTAGGAAAGAACTCCCACTGGCATGATCTGGAGTAATATTGCTGGGCCTTGAAATGGATCTGTTTTATGTCCTCAAGTGAGATGCAGCTGTGAAGTATCACCCAGAGAAGGTTAAAGCATGTGCAAGAGCCTTTGGGCTCTTAGAGGCATCTCCTGCTGTCCCTCCCTGCCCTCTCTGTCTTTCTTTCTCTCTTACCTCTGAGAGAGATTACACCTGTAAGGAGGAAAGATGCCAGAAGCAATGAAGAAATGAGAATGGTTCTTCCTATTTTGACACCTGTTTTTTAAAGAAACCTGAGCATCATTCTGCTGTGGCCTTTTTTCAGAGATCATATGTACCTGGGAACTGGTATTTTATTATTTCTGAGAAACCAAGAAAACTGCAATCGTAAGTGGAATATGTATCTAAGGGATAGAGTAGAAGGCATAAAGAGGAAGCTGATGATTTATAAAAGGGGCAAAAGCCACAGCTCTATATAATTTTTTCTATTTTTCATTTCCTTTTAGTGATGATTACTTTTGCTTTTTTGCTTTTAATATGTATATATGCTGATGGAAATCTAGTGTTTTTTTTCTAGAACTGAAAAAAAATAAGTTTATCATCATTATTTTGCCTTAAAACTACTATTGCAATGAACAAAGAATATAACAGACTTTGCTTTCAACTGTTAATCTAGAGCAGCCTTGTGCATCTTTAAGGTAGCTGCACTCTGTAGCCTCCCCTTGTACCAGCCTATCACAAATGAAGTAAGAGTAGACGGCAAAAATTTTCTGAGTTGATTTTGAGGACTGATGGTTCAGGAACAGCTGTTGGACTTAATAATACACATTACAAATAAGTTTTTATGTCCTCACAGACTAATACAGACAGTCGACCACAGAAAACTCTATAATTCAGAGTTAATTTTTGTGCAATCAGACAAGCTTTGTTTCTTTACTCTAAAGACGACTGGAAAGTATAGTGTGACACCCCTCAAAAGCTGTTCCAAGGTTATTTACTTTCAGGCTTAAGATTCTCTGCTTGCTTACTTGTTTGAAATAGACTGAACTCAGTGTTTTTTTCTTATACTTTGCTCCCCAAATTATGACATCTATCATGCGGCTTTTCCATTGAAAGCACGCTATTTTAAAACACATTACAAGATTTCCCATTGTAAACCATGGGTTGTAAAATAAAATTTCCTGTGCATTGTAAGGGAAACTCAGAGTGTTGAGCAGAAGACCTACAGCTACATTGTGATTGTCCTTCAGGATGTGGTCAGGTTTGCAACTGTAGAAAATATGCTGTGGAACAACAGATGCCTCTTAGAGAAGGTGCATCCTTCAGCTGTGAGTGTGGTGTTTTTACATTTCAGAAATAAATCTCCAAGGAGAATCTGGTCTTTGGTTATTGTGTAGCATCATGGAATTACATCTGAAAATTAATTTCCTTAGCTGATGTGAGTTATTTAATGTATGCTTTTTGAAAATACACATTCTCCTACACATTTCCTAGGAACAGATTTTAACAGTTCTTCTGTTTATGGAGTTCAGTTTATGCAGCAAAAAAAAAAAAAAAAACCTGCTTTACTGGAAATAGTTTCCATGCAGAATTTGTACTTCACCATACACTTAATTGTTTAATTGTTTTCAATATGCAGCTGATCTTTGAATAAGGAAATGTGTGATAAGGACTATATTAAGGAAAAAACCCGCTTATAACACACAACAGTATTTCCCATTTACTGAACTTGGAGGCCATAAAATCTAAATTAAAAGGCTCTATGTTTTCAAGCAGTGGCATTTCTTAAAGTCTGATCCTATTATATATCCTATTATCTGAATGCATGTAGGTACATGCTGTGTGCTAGTCCAAAATTAGATTAAAAATAAAAGTATGCCCTTAATATTGTTGGAGATCATATAATAACAAGGAAAACTTCAGAAGATTGCATATCTATATATTAAGTTTGTACAGTGTTGTAAGTATCACAGTATGAGTCTCTTTATTCCAGTGTACAGAGCATCTGTACGATTTCTTCATGGTGTGCTAAATTGTGTCAGAATATTGCAGAGATAATAGGTGGAAATTACATAAGTGCATCTTTTCCCTTTAATGTACTAGGTTGAGTGGTTTTTTTTAAGGAGCAAAACATTGGATTGATCATACCGTGTATATAAAAATTGCTGGAAATTAAGTTTTAATGCAATGAGAAGTTTAGAGTTATTAGAAAAATTTTCGTTGCTAAGCATAAAAGGAAGAAAGTAAACTGAATGCATATGTAAACATTGGTAAACAAAGCTGTAAAACTTTAATTGAAAGAAAAGTCATAACATTCGTCAGATAACATTGTTGCCACATAAAACTTTATCCTTAAATGTCAACTCAAAGCTAGGATTTTTTTTACAATCCTGTCAGATCAGAAAATTAAAATTATTAATATCAATATTTTTCCTATATCACATTTTCATGAAACCATACTTTTCGGGAACATAAAACTTTTTAACACGAGGGATTATCATTTTTAGCTAGCAGAGTGAACTCCTTTACTGTGAGCCGTAACTAAGCTTTTATGCTCTGTTCCTTTTGCTGTGAAGTTGGTAGCCAAGCAAATGAGATTCCATTCATTATAAGGTGCTTGTAGGTTCAGTCTGGAGTAAGTGCTAGCAGATGATTGGAAACCAAACTTGGACCTATGCTTGATTGCAAAAAGAGCCTTGGCATTGGTTAGCTGATAACTTTGCCAGCTTTATATGTCATTCGGGAAAATTAATGTTTCAGTTTCAGCAGCGTATTTCTGCATTTGTTGAGGATTGTGTCACATTCATTGCTGACTGAGAGGAAGCTACTGGATTGTATCTGGGGATTTTTCTCCATGCTCTGAAGGCAAAGTTTCTCACAGACTTCCTTGGTATGTAATTTTTGATCTGGAAATACATGCTTGGTGGTGGCAGTAGGCTCATCTTCCTCAATTTATTAAAAAGGAATATGTGATTTTATTGTTTTCTCAGGGCCAACTGGTGTCACAGTGGTTTCCCTAAGACAGGGAAACTTCTGAATATATAGAAGGTAATAATCTTTGGGTCGTCCCAAGCAGAATGTCAGTGAATAACCATTTTGTTGGGAAAACTGTTGTTATTCTGCCTTGGGCTGGAGTGCTTTTCCTGTTTGTTTCTATGGTTTTGGTGTGCTTCGAGCCATCTATGTCAAGCATCAGCAGGAATTCTCCTAAGCAATACACAACTATGTAACCATTGCCACATATATCTCTGGTACATAAATTTACAGATTTTTTTGTGATGTAGCTGTGCAAACTTTTCTGCTTTAAATGCAAACAGATTGGAATTCATATTACTATAGCAATCAACATTAAAAACTATGGATATGTAAGTTGCAGAAGCTATTTTAAATGTTTATTGTGCATATTTCAGAGCAGGTGAGAAAAAAGCTTTCATTTTAATTATCTGTGCTGCTCCAGGCCATTGTGCTGGTTTGGCTGGGGCAGAGGTAATTTCCTTCATAATAACTGGTAGGGAAATACACTTTGGACTTGTACCACACTGTAGTCCCATGCTAACTACTATATCATGAAGAAAATTAACTTTATTCCAGATAAAACCAGCACACTAGTGCTCCGTAAGCTTTGGAGCAGGTAGCATAGAGTGGAATGTGGATACCTATTTAATGGTAGGACTTCCTTAAGCTTTCAGGTTTGCTAGGCATACTGTCTTTTCCTGTGAAAAGTGTATTCAATAGATCCAGTTCGATGAGTCTCCTGCAGATAACTGAATAGCAGAAGTGATCATATGGAAGTTCTGGGTGCCAACATGAATGGATCAGCTCTATAATATACTCAGCAGTATATGTGCTGAATCGGGGATGTGCTTTTGGCAATAGGAAGCTGGAGCTGGGGCTTCCCCCACCCATGAAATAACATCAGCCTCTTTTGTACATGTGTTAATATGCATATCTATGGCATAAATTTACTGTACAATATATATGTGCTAGTGCACAATGTTCCTGTGTTTCACTTGGGAAAGTGAGGTGCTAAGAGGAAGTTGTGTGGCTTCAATGTGATGTATGAAAATCTGCTTCTGGTCCCCTCCTTTCCCAGCACTTCTCATGTTTTTAGCACTACCTTCTGGAAAATAATTCCAACAGAAATGTGCTCTTCTTGGTCACTCTCCTTCCCAGGACCCTGTGGGAAAAGTACATCATCCTGTAAAGATGATGTCCTGTAAGAAGTTTTTGCTGCATGCCTAGAGGTGAGGACAGGCTATGGACTGATGATTGCACTGGCAAGTAACAAGTGGTCTGTCAAATACGGCTGGAGGACTCCCACACTGCTCACTTGACCTATGCGTAAGTGGTAAATCCTCTTACTGAGGCTGTAATGCATCTTGGGCTTGTGCAGCTGCACCTACTGCTGGTGCTAAGGGTTTCCTGGACAGAGTTATCATAACTCTGGGTAATGGCCCTTTGTTTTTCAGTTGTTTTGACAGCTGCTGCTTTTGATACGCTCTGGATAACAGAAGGCTTTTGGCTTTTAAGGTGTTGCAGTGAACCACAGGTGGTCTAAATAATAATTATGTTTTCATATTCGACCTTCACTTATCCCCCAAAAAAGCAAGCTGCTTTTCAGGGATATCTTTGTTTCCATTTACAGCACCTGTGCTTTTCTCTCCACAGGTAATTTGATGTGTGCCGTCAACTCAAAACTGGCATTTTGGTTTGCCTTCCTGCTGTCATTTCCCATGAAGTATATGTTATACAGAAATCCCATTTTAAAAATTTGATTTCTGCTGTCCCCTTTTTGCAGAAATTACATTCCTTGAATGCTCCAAATAATTTTAGCTCTTTAAATAACAACCAGCTGTAGCAATGAGAAGCTACAGTTGCTGCTGATGCATTTTTGGTTTTCTTCAGGTACTCAGCGAGGCTGTAGGTGCTTTCTTCACTCAGTGGCAGGTAGATACTTGTGCACAGCTCTTAGGATTGCTTTCTGATAAATTTGGGGTGTGAACACATTTCTCATTTCTCTAACTGTCGGATATTTCAGCCTCTGCTGTCTTTGCATACTTATCTTCAGGTAGTCTGGAGTGTCTACATTATCATTGCAAAATCCACAGGGTGAAATCTGAGAAGGAAGCAGAGCTTTGCAGAGGTTCACATCAGCTTCACAAGGATAAATGCGAGCACTAGAACCAAGACAATGAGCAGAAAGTTGAGTAGCAAGTTGAGACCTCTGTTGTTGGCAAGATCCATAATGTGCATCAGTCTGCCCTCTTGTGCCTGCAGCAGACTCTTAATTGTAGCTTAGGGGGTTGCTCCTTCAGTACTAAGCCATGTAGGTTCACATGAATTTTATTGTCCACAGCTTTTTCCCTGGTTTTTAGTTTCGGCCACTTACAAAGAAAAAGTATATTTACAATAGCTAGTTGTTTGTTTTTTCTGGAAAATTATTCTGGATGCTTCTACAAATTTTTCTCAAATACCTTAAAAATAAAATGAAATAAAATTAAGGTTAATGTTATTTTTCATTACAGTACTGAAGAATTTCTGAAGAACTAATAATTGGAGGAAGGACTTGAATTTTCTCATACAGTTTGGCACTTCATTGACTTTTTTTATGTGTATAGGACTTTCCAGGCCCATTGAATTTTCAAGAGAATGAATGTTTTCAAGACTTGGTCTCTTTCAGCAACAGACTGTTGAAAATTTTCTTCTAAAATACCTCTATAGGTGAAACACCCCTCCACCTCCTGCTTTCTTATCTGGGCAAAATGTGTGGCTTTTAATAGAAGTATTTCCAACCCTTCTAGGGTTTGGCATCGTGCAGTGCAGTTGTGTTTAGCTGGGAGTGTGCTGTGTAAGGTCCATTTCAGTCTTGCAAATGCCTTACAAAGAATCTAGATTGAGCTGGCAGAGGATGTGTCTTTAGTGCTTTTAATAGCACATATGCAATTACTTATTTTAAGATAGCATTAATAACTTAACAATTGGGTTTTATTTATAGAAATATGTATGCATAAATGAAAGGAACATATAAACCCACTCAGCCCTAACACTGCCAACAGTTGCCAAAACTTCCTTTTAATAATCAGCTACATTTTTAGGGAAGATCACAAGAGGGCAGTGTTTTATAGTTTTAAATTTTCTACAAAGGTGTAACTTCTGGCATTATTTTACCTTAAAAAAAAAAGGTTATAAAGCAATCAATATAATATGACTTACTACAGTAAATATAGGGTATGTGTTAATTTAAATTACCAGGATTCTTATTGAGGATCAGTTTTTAAAGGAATTCTTTAAAGAAATATGTTCAGGGTTTTTGTTGGGTTTTTTTTCCTCACTTTTTATCGTGGAGGTCAAAGCTAGAAGGACTAAGCTAGAAGGACTACATTTGTTGTTAAATAAGACATCTCTGGATCTTGCAGGATTTCACAGAAAAATTTCCAATTTTGTTCTGCTAGGCACTATTCACTAATACCCATACTAATACAGGTATCTGATCTGTAATTTATACTGTATTGATATGCTTCCAAATATAAACAGGAACACTCTCTAAATGAAGGTGTTCAATTACTCTGCTCTAATTTTGGCAGAGAGGATATAAAGGATACATTTCAGGATATATTTCATTAAAAAGTGTGTACATTTCTTATGATTGTTGTTCTGTGTGTATCCCAGAATGGATAAGGTTGGAGGGGACTACCATCTGCCTGCTCAAGCAGGGTGATCCTAGAGCACACGGCACAGGATTGCATCCAGGTGGTGTCTGAACATCTCCTGTGAAGGAGACTCCATAACCTCTCTGGGCAACCTGTTCCAGTGCACAGTAAAGAAGTTCTTCCTTATGTTCAGGTGGAACTTTTTGTGCATCAGTTTCTGCCCATTGCCTCTTGTCCTATTGCTTGGCACCACCCAGCAGAGCCTGGCTCCACACTCTTGATATCCCCTTCAGATATTGATAGACATTAATAAAGTCCCCTCAGTCACTTCTTGAGTCCCAGCTCCCTGGACTTTCCTCTTAACAGAAATATTCCAGTGGCTTAATGATCTTTGTCATCTTCTGCTGGACCAGCCCTAGGAATACTCCGTGTCTCTCTTGTACTGAGGAGCCCAGAACTGGACACAGCATCTCTAGGGTGGGGTAGAGGGGCAGGATCATCTCCCTTGACCTGCTGGGAATTGTCTTCCTAATGCCAGGATACCACTGACCTAGCTGTACCATTGGCCACTGGTGTAGCTGTAGCAAAACTTGCATAAATATTCTTTGTGCAGGGAGGTGACAAACATTTTTGTGCATGTTGTGTGAATAATTTTGTTTAAGGCTGTTTTACTTTTGTCTGTCCACTGAGTGGTTCAGTAGAACAGTTATTCAAGAAATGCAAGTATATGCTGCCTTCTAAAACACCTTACTGACTAGTCTTGGTCAGAGCAAAGTTTCCATTTTTAAGTGGGTCATGTTTTTTCATAGAGAATAATATCAATTATTCAATTATTGAATCAATTATTATGTCATTTTTTTGCTGAGGAGCTGGCTAAGGAAACACATCTTTAAAACCAGCATATTTTGGTTCCTGATTCAGCTCCTTCCCAATATAAAATTGTCATAGAAGAGGGTAATTTTTTTTTTTTAGGAAGATTAATGCCAGATTGTTTCCTGTTTAGCTGTCTTTATTCACTATTAGTGTGTAAGATGACCTTAGGAAAAAGATTTAGGTTTGGGTGGAGTGGAGCAGAGAACTGAAAACTTAATCCAAACTACATGCTGTACATGTTTGCAGTTTTTATTATGGCTTGTAAAAGCGGTGAATTTTTTGATTATACTTGCAGAAAATTCATTAGGAATAGTTACAAACACTAGCTACTAAGTGGGAATCAGGTACATGTAAGTGACCTGGACATCACAACACAGTCAAGATTACTCTTGAAAACCAAAACAGAATAAATAGAGATTTAGAGAATTAGAAAGCTCTGTGATTATTAGCTTCTTTTCACATAATAGAAGTAGTTTAATAAGTAATAGAATTGATGCTTCTTTCTAAACAGAATTGGATATATATATTATGCATTAATATAAAAAAATACAGATTTGAAGAGAAGAAGAGTAAGAAGGATTAAAAGGGGAAATACGATTGCTAATATTGTGGTCAGAGAGTGGTCAGAATGCATGAAATGGAAATTGAGATTTACACTGACAGTTCAAATCAGTAATGCTCATATACTAACTTCAAGTGTGGGGGTGTGTAGCCAGTCTCACCAGTGCTTGCCCTAATCCTCACACAAGTAACTATCTTAATTTCCTCTACTGGGTAACCTTATTTCAGAGTCTGGTCTCAACATACCTACTCACCAAATAGGAAATTCATCACTGGATTTGCTTGCATTCCATTGAATACAGAGTTTTTTTCAAAGATTTCTTCCCTTCCCACTCAGCTGTTCATTGTCAACTTCTACTCATGAAATATTAAGTCTTAGAGGCAGAATACAAGATAAACTTGTTTTGATTTTCTGTATTAATCAGTAAGAATGTTTACATAGAATGGAATAGAAGAATATCTCTTTAAAAAATGGATGTCTGTCTGAGCTCTGTCGATTCTTGAGCTTCGTCTAAATTTGAAAAGTGTATCAAATTTCTAGGAATTTTGCTTAATACCAGCAACATGTAATAAGGTTAGCAGAGTTGGAATTCTTCTACTCGGTCTTGTTACTCACAACTTCTGGAGTAGAAATATCATCTTTTATGTCTATAGCCTGTGGTTTACATGTTAAAAAGATAGTTCTGCAGTGCTTTCCCCTCCTGTGCATAATTGTTTATAATAAACTTTTTTATCTGTCATTTATTTTAGGAAAGTACTGGCATGTTCTCTAGCAGGAATTTGCAGCTGAATATGGGGATGTTACATATATTTGTATGGATGTACTTCAGTCACAACAATAATGGTGACCTAGACTTTTCTCTTTGCCCCATTGAGTGTAAGCTACCTCATGTGGCATTGGCAAGTTCCAAGTTTTTTGTAGTTTAAAGTAAGGAAAATATTACATAAATTAGAACAGGACTTAATTGAGTCATCTAAAGGCAAATACTAAGAACTCGGAGAATCTCAGTTGTGCCAGTTGTCATGTCAGTCAAAAGACTATGGAAAACAAAGTTTTTTATATCAGTTATGGTAGTGTCAATTTTTTCCTGCAAAACGTAATGAAAGGATTGTTCCAGATGTCACATATATAAGATTCCTTTAGTAGGGAGAAAAATGTATGAAACCATTTTTCCTTTCTGAGTTAGATTTTTGGTTCATTCTCGTATTCCATTGAAAAACACAAGCAAATTCAGTGCCTTCAGTTGATAATGCAGAGATGCAGCACCTTGAACTAAGCAGAGCAGAAATTTTCCCAGGATGTGTTAAGGGCTGTGTACCTGTAAGCTCTTCTTTGGGCAGGCATGGTCCAAATTTGGAACCCTTCCAAGGGCTTAAAGATTTTCAGAGAAGGCTAAAAACACTTAAGCCCCCAAAAAGTGGTGGTGGTGTTTATCTGACTAAAACACTGAATTTACTAGCTGCTGGCTGTTACTGATCAGAGCAGATAATCTGATTTACTGATAGTTTACCCCATGTAGTAAAGACATCTCTTTATTGAGACTGACATTGAGTCATGCACAACTTTGTAACTACAGGCTCTAAACACTGTTCTGCACAGAAAAGGTGTTTTTAATACATGTAGCAGGCAGTAAGATAACAGAGCACTGGTTGGCACACTCTGTAGTCCAAGTGCTAGCCCCTGTCACATGAGGATCCTTGCACTGGGAGTTGCATGTGTAGGTCTCTCTTCCCCCTGAGGTGACATTCCTAGAGGACAGGACAGAGAAGTGCTGGAACTTCAGAGAAGCATCACAATGATACAGATCAGCAAGAGGCAAATTAAAATCAGGCAGAAATTCACAAAGAGCTCTTGGAGCCTTTGGCGTGCTTGTGGGTTGACCTCAATAGTTGAGGCTCTCCTCAGAGCGGAGCGGGTCATGTGTTGGACCTTCTCCATGGCAACAAGAAAGCGAAGGGCACAAATCAGAGCTTTTAGGAGTGCAGGAGAGAAGAACAGTGGTCAGGAACAGTGCAAAGTGCCTAAAGTCTTCTCTTTGTTTTAGACAGCCTTTGCAGAGCTGGAAAGCAGGAAAGCAGAGAATTAGAAGTGCAGAAGTGTTTATATGAGTGCAAATGGAGATTGTTTTAAAGTTCTAAAAAGAAAAAAATAGATAAACTAGCAGATTGTTTTAACCTAGAAACACTGTAAAAACAGGATTTTAAAATTTTGGGGTTTTAAATTTAGATTTGTGCTGTATTATGTTTCTTCTCCTGAAGGCTACTGAGTACCTGCTTTTTAGCAGTTTTGAGTGACTGTATTATGGAAACTGTGGTTATATGGGGTTTGCCCAGATTATTGCTTTAGATCCTAAGCTCTCTATCTCACAGAGTCTCTGAAAAGGCTGTGGCTGATTGCCTTTCCACACACCCCCCTCTGCTTTATTTGTTCAAGCACATGTGAAGATTTGATGATAAGAGTAGGGTCACAGACCTTTCAGCCAGGAGCTCTGGGTAGTCCTGCTCGCTGGTACTGACAGGGCAGATAATCTGGTTTACCAGTACCTTTTTCTGGAAGGGAGGGAAAGAAATCTCGTTGAAGTATTTCCATTCTGAGAAGAAATTCTTTATGGTGGACAATTAAAACCTAATGTATCACTGCTGTAGGGAACTTTAGTAGCATAGGTCTCAACAGACAAGACAGAGTAAGGACTAAATCTTTTTTTATGCAGTAGGGCAATGTGTTACAAACATGGATACAAAGGCAGAGGACTGCTGTGAGGAGCAAAACAAAGCATTTACACAACTTTGTCTTTTAATTGTTACATTTAAAGTGTATTTTCCTCCTTTTTAGTGGCAGATGGAAGGACAGGGTATCACTTGTTTTGTTTTAAAACTCCAAATAAGTAGTTGCAAAAAAACTACTAAAAAAGTAAACCTTCCTCTACAAACCTTCCATGGCAAGAATCTGGCTTTGAGATATGCTTGTTTAGCTCATGGTGAGATGGATTCTGAATTGTAGGTGCTGTCACAATGTGAAAACTTGGTTTTTAAAATAATGATGATATATGCATCTGTCAGACTTTGTTCCTGAAGCTGCAATTACCCCTAAACATTTTATGAATTTATATTGTGTTCATATATTTCACAGAAGACCTCTCTTTATCACCACTTCATTATTTTTTTCTTGGAAATAAGTGAAATTATATATGCCACATAAAGGAAGACAATTGCTTAGATGTCTGTCACCCAAATTACATGATGATCCTGACTGAATCAGAGATATTTTGTTGCCCATGAATTTGTCTTTATATGTGGCTAAAATGGAAAAACCCTAAAAGCAAATGGAAGTTTCTTTCAGTCTCTTCTTTTTTTAATCCCTCCATGTTGGGCTGTAGAGTCAAATGGTACTGTATGAACAGAATGCATGTTTTCAGTGGCAGTGTATTTAAGAGAAACTTTCAAAAGCAATCAGATTGCACATGGCTATTTTAATACCTTTAGAGGATTCCATGGGATGACATCTCCTCAAACGGAACTTCAGATTTTGTTATGATTTTTTGAGCTGTAGTTGATCTCAACTTTTTTGCGAAAAGACCATACACCAGAACATACTCTTGTGACTACAATTTTTCATCTTTGTTTGACTCTTTGCTGTGCCTGATTTCATCTATTTAAGCAGTTAAAATGCTTGCCAAGTATATTCTGCTTAGCTTTTTGCTAGTCACGATCTGTCCCAAGTGCAGTAAAAGCAAGACATACACAGGAATTCTAAAGTCTCTTGGCTGAATGCACATTCATTCTCCCAGCCCAGTACAGGCTGGAGTGCATTAGACTGTTTATCTTCTTGCAGACAAGTCCCAGTAGATGAACCACAAATGGATTTACATGGATAGAGAGGAGTTTGTATAACCAGCTTCTGCAACAGACACTGCCCAGAGAATGGCATTTCCTGCGCGTGACTTCATCATAGCATTTTATGTCATTTTTTCAGTGTCAGGTGTGTGCAACTCTTGGTTTTTGGGCTGCTGCAGCAGGTCACAACATTTTTCTTTCCTGATTGTTTTTTTTTTTTTTCCCTTGGAGCACACAGAAGGATTGCAACAGCATCAGTGTGTACCTGTGTACATGCAGAATAAATGTACATTCTATTTCATGTGCACTGCATTAGGTACAACTGCACTCCCACTGGCACCTGCACTGCTGTGTTGCTGCATCTGATTTACTTGCACTGAAGTGCATCCATAAAAAGTAATATTAGCTGGTTGGGCATCACAGATACAAGGCCAAAATAGATATTTGCACATATGTGACCAGAAGGGGATACAAACGGTTCTAAAAAATGGAAGGCAGCGTAAATTAAAATCTCTATACCTCATACAGCTAGGAAAAATCTTAGAGAAAGGTTGAGGAGAGAACAAAAGAGATTGATTTTCTTGATTTAATAGGTTATGTGGTTTTGGAAGTTTTTGAAATATCTGTGTGTTGTTTAACCTCCTACACCTATCTGTGGGATAAGTTTTCTTGTAAGCAAAGGAAGCCAATTCTCTGTCTGTATTTCAACAAGTTTGTCTTTACAAGTGCTCAAGTTCAAACTAATAAACACATACCTTGCTTGTTAATCCTCCATGGCACTGTCACCCACCTAAAGTGTGCAGAAAGAGAAACAGATTCAGTAACTTAACTGCATACGGGTGGCTATCAAGGTCAAAACGGACAGCTTGGAAAATAATTAAACAGAAACAAAGACTGATCATTGTTACAAATAGTAGCTGCTCTCTGCTGTTCAGTTCCCGGTGGTTTAGGCCAATAAAAAGAAGAATTGTGCATGCACACTCCACTCCTTGAAACACAAGTGCAGCAAAAGGGCAAATGATATTTGATATCTTTTAGAAGTCACAAAGTGTGACTCGTGTGACAAGACTGAGCATCACACAAGAGGAACAGTTGGCTGCATTGCTGTGCAGTTTTGGTTTATCAGTCCTGTTAATGGATGTGCAAGGCTTGTCTTAGGCACAGAATGAATCTGCAGAAAGAAGTGTGGTGGCTGACCCTCTATGTTACTATGTAGGGAATCCCCTATACCCCATGCTTTAGAATGAGTCACTGGTCACAATTATTGCTTCCCACTTCGCTGGCATGTGACTGTTTCCCTGATTTGTATTAGGTTATTTTTATCTTTGTTCCTGGGTGCCCTTCACAATGAGAGGGGGTATGTGACCAAAGTGAAAACTGTGGGCCATGCTCATTCCTGGTGCAACTGCATTGACTCCTTTGAAGTCACACAGGATAAATTTGGCTCCCTTGGAAATGCCATTGGAAATGACAGTCTGTTTCCTGTCATATGTTCACTAAATGCAGCAGTGATATCAGTGGAATAGAAGAAGTTTGACTTACTTGAATTCTTGCAGTTCCACATAACAAGTGGAGCCCTGAGGGGCTGTTAAAGTTATGTTGCATAAGTCTATTGCATATATTTTTACAATGAGATGTCCCAAAACCCCAGTAATTCACTTTTATCCATTGAAAAAAAAGTCTTACTAACCATCAACATAATGATGGAAAAGGTACTATAAAGTTATGTTGATTGAAGGTTTAGGCACTGACTTGTGGCATGTTATCTCATTTTTCAAACATATGTAGGAAACATTTCCTTGGGATGGGGAAAGAAGCAACAGTTCAGCTCATAGTTTGAGAAGTGCTGGTAACAGGAAAAACAACTCATTTTATGTTTCTATTTACCTTTTGTCTGTTTTGTACTGGAGTGTCTTGTGTGTTTCTTACAGCATAGGGGAAGACTCACACTTCAGATTCTTTTTCCTCCCCCTTACAAATGCATTGTTTCTACAATCTTCCTTCTGAGTAGCTTTGATGTTCTTAGTGTTCTGAGACCAAAGACCAACACTAAGAGCCTCTACTTGTATTTCAAGTCCATGAGAACGTGAATGGTGTAGTTGACAAGAAATTACACTGATGAATAGTTGAACACAATAGCCATTTTGGGTTTTGAAATTTATCCACATATCTTGTGGATAACTGGGACTTATATATGTGCTGGTCCATTAGAGTAGCCTGGAGCCAGTGCTTTGGGCTAATTTTTAAGTTGGTTAAATTCCCTGTAGCTGCAGCAGGACCATGCAATGGGACCTTGGGCAGTTTCTTCAGTCTCCATTCTCATGGGTTCCCCTCATCAAAATAAGACATAAAATGACTGTATACCAATTCTAGTTTGTTGATGTGATCTGCCTTTTACATAGTAAATTTCTTTTAGGAAATTAACTCCATCCTCTGCTGAGTTCACTGATTACCTAACAAGTTGTTTCGTGTTGAGTTTTAGCTATGGTGGTTCATAATAGGAAATCGGAAATAGGAAATGGTCTAAGTGCGATTTGAATTAAAGTAAAAATTGAAATACGTCTGGCATGTATAAAAGGTAGAAGTGGAAGGGGATGTTACAAGTTTCGTTTTTAACCTTCTAGTTGCTCAGGGAACAATGATATGGCAGTGATTGAGAAGAATATAATAGATAAATTCAATTTCTGAGAAGTTACTTGATGCCAGGAAGGTCCTGTTAAGCCTTTTTTCAATCTCTAGAAAGCAAAAGCAATCTCCAGTTCTGAAGTGTCTTGTAGTTTTAGGGAACAGAACTTTACTTCCTGATAGGATTTTTTATTTCTCCAACTGGGGCACTTTTCTATTCCTAAGTCAAATTACTCTTAAAGCAAACAAAACTGCTGTTGTAGTTCTGTACATGTATCCATACATTTTTGTTTGCTGATGGTCTGAAAAAGCAGTGAAAATCACCTTCACACTACCAGTTACAAACTGATTTCAGTGAGTTTTCTGTTGTACAATGGAGGCACTATATTCTTAATGTCCTCAGAGGATGAGAAATAAATGCAGCTTTTAAAAATAAAAATGTGGTAATACATAAATCTGAATCTGTCTTAAATAACAATTCTTTCATCATCTTGGCAAATGAGTAGCAAAAAAACCCAGAAGATTGCCTGCTGTAAATGAAATGCCTAATTTCACATTGATTTGTAACACTTTTCATCTGCCCTGTAGCACATGCCTCTGTCATAACTGTAGGTTGTTTCTCAAGGTTTGGATATCTTTGACATGGGATGTTATAAGTGTGAAATTTTTAAATATAATTTAACAGCTGAGCCACTCTCTCATCTACATTAAATTACTGAACTCTTAACAGGATAAAATTGAGATGATGGGGCAACTACTCTGCTGTAGGATGCATTCCAGCTTTCAGGGAAGAGCTGTCTACAGCAGTTAAGTGTCTGTATGTGTGTTCAATCTATGTGTGTATGCATAAAGTCTGTATTTTTAAAGGTCTGCATATGCAATATTTGTAGTAGAAGTGAAAGATTCTCTGGGTGGTAGAATAAACCTAAACTCCTCTCTTCACTTGAAAATACATTCTATTTGTAACTTCAGCCTTGAAAAAAAATCTATCTCAGAATCTTCTTGCTCTTTGTAGGCACTGGGAGGTCTGAAGTGCTGCTTCTGCCTACTGAAAACAGCTGCTAGAGAACTATGTAACAGATTGTTTGCCTTAGGAATAACGGCATGTCCATACATTCCTCTCACTTGAATATTCAAAACTGGCACAAGGCTGCTGAGCACAAAACCAAGCGCATGAGTATGTCTTTGCCTGATGCCTACCAGTCACTAATAGGAAAAGGCATTAGGTGTATCTGTTCACTAACAGGGAAAATACACCTCACAGAATTAAAAGTCTGTATTAGGTTTGTCTCTTCTATAACCAGAATCATATGTAGACATAAGTAGTAAGGTGTGAATTGATGAAAAGGGGGAACATGATTGTAAGGAGCACAGGTACCTTAGAGACATACATATTCATGAATCCTATTTCTTCTTAAAATATTTGTATATGTAAATATTGAATGTTCTCTGAGACATGTTTCTCTGAGATGCATCTTTTTTTCAGTGATTTTAAAGCTGGGATTGTATTTCATTGTGCAACATGTCTGTGCTTTCCTTAGAAACAGATGGGTTATTTTCTGCGTTTGTAATTCAGTTCATAATGTTACAAATCTTAGCTGAATTATTTCTCTGTTATTAGAAGCAATCTAGGACAAGTGTGTTAGTTACATTGAACAACAGGAGAAAATAAACTTAATGCATGTCAAAGCAAAAACACTGCATGGATTCTGTAGCTTGAACTGCACTCAGAGTAACATGGTATAATTTCCGTTCTAGTACTGCTATAAATCACATTTTTAAAGTAAGGGTAACTTTTCATCATACAGCAAACAAAATGGTTTGCTCTCTCAATGTGTTAGGTCAGAAAAATGTTTTACAGAGTTGATGGTGAAAGAGCTTTTTTACCCTTGTTGGTCTGTGAATAGGCAGCTTTGGGAAAAAGAATGTCTCTATGAAGCTTTAAGAGAATTATACTCTTTGTAGATTTTGAATTAAAAACCAAACAGATAAAAGAAAAAAAACAAGCAAAAGGTATTAAATTTAAAAGAAAAGACACAGGTGTGACAAACATGATGAAACCTTCTCGCCTTCTTGTGCAATACCACCTGGATAAATCATCTACCCAAGGACAGCCGGTGTCCCATGAGCATATAGGAAATTATGTTGCCTTTACTGTTGCTGAAAGGCTCTCCACACAGCAGTATATCTTTGACCCAGAGCTATAATGCCTATATTTCAATATTTTTATAAGCAGTTAAAGCTAGTTGTTAATTCGAGCAGAGGAGTTTTTTGTAGGTACGTGCAGCTACAGCATGCCTTCCTGCAAGAATTAAAAGATTATACAGAAGAGAGGTTCCTTACCCCTGGTGTGACTTAGTGAAGCACAGAGGAGCTTGCTCCGGGCTGTGGGATGTGCCTGTAGATCTCTGGCAACTTGTCCGAGACTGTGACCAAGTTGTGGAAACAATTGAAGTAGGCTGAGGGGAAAAAATAACACAAGTTTCAGAGGCAGGACTCACGGTGTCACTCAGCAGCTCACAAGTTGATTGGTCCCATTTGCCTTCTGACAGGCAGTGACTCCTCTAAACTTGTTCCCAGAAGTAATGTACTAAACCTGGGCAGCGCCTTTCCTTTTGTGAAAGGAACTCTGTGGCAGGGAGACCACCTGCTCAATCACAGGATGAGGGAATCTGGGGAGCTGCATACTTCAGTGGGGTAGCTGCTCCCTGACTGACACTCTGCCTTTTTTAAACAGGAACTTAAAAGGAAACTTACTCAGGGAGCTGCTTTGGATGTGTTACTTTTGCTACAGCAATGTTTCTTCTTCGTTAAAAAAACCTAAATAGTGTGGCCTGACAGATTTCTTGTGGATATTTGACTTGGAATTATTTTTTGTCCAAGGTTTTTTTTTTTAAACTACACTTTCAATATATATCGTTTTGATTATTCTGTTACATAGCTGGTATTCTGTTTATAGTGTATGATGACTGCTTCCCAATATCATTTTTCTTCTGACAGTGCTTAAAATGAAATAACTTTTCTATATTTCAAGTCTCTTCCAACCTTTAATGGGTGGGTTAGAGGATCTTTTTTTCCCAAATCTGGCATATGCAAGTTTGTCTCTGAAATATACCATTACTATATATTTTAAAGTATTTATCTTTCCTTTAAAACACACTTCCACATTTTTTCTTCCCCTTCCATTTTCTGTGGCTGGAAACTATTTAAGTGAATTTTTGAGAACCCTTTCTCTTTGTTTGGATAGGAGTAGCAGCTTGATGCTACTTTTCAGGTTTATACTTTCCTGTGTTGAGAAGTGACAACCTAGTGCATATACAGAGTAGGTTTTGTGCATTGGGGAAGTGAAGGATTTACTGGATGTGAAAGGATTAAGCTGTCAAGTGAGAGCATCCAGTATCAGGCTTTCTGTGTGGATGCAACTGACAGCATGTGCCTTTTCCTGATTTGGAAATTGCAGGCAAAAATACAGAAGCTCAGCCTAATTCTGAACACTTACAGATTCAATTTTGACAATAATTGTTTAGCATAGATAAGTGCTTAACTTTAAGCAGGATCCTAGACAGGGTGGGGTTTTTTTGGTTTAGTTTGGGTTTTTTGTTCCCTGGAAGCCCTGCTGCAGTACATTCAAACCAGAGACAGAAGGGCTTTGGGGGTGATGTACAACCCTGTTGCAAATTGAGCTCAGTTTTTATTTTTGTAAATATAGTTTCGATCTTCTGCAAATTGGTTATATCACAATTGAAGTTAGCGACTTGGTTTTAGTATAATAAATCTTCCTGCTTTCAGTTGTCCTTTAGTATCAAACTCAGGAAGTCTGAGGTCACATATTTCAGTTGAAAGTTAATTGAATATCTTCACAGTGAGAAGTGATGGTTCTTTACTGGTGCAAAGTGTTTCATAATTTACTTGTAATGGCATTATTAACATTGTAAATCTCTCACAGTCAAGCAAGCTATATTTGGCTTTTTTATGAGGGAATTTTTGTGTTTTTATTGTATGCTGTCATCCAAGAAAAGTGCTAGCATTTGATTGTTTGCTTTTTTATGAAACTTGTACTATTGAAATTTCACCCTCTACATTTTGTTATGAAGTCCAATAACCAGCATTGCAACAGCTGCAATGCCGTTCCTTCCTTTTACCAAATCAATACAAAATTGTCATTATTTAGTTGCACTACCCCAAATTCTTGGCTCTTTTTGTTAATGAATTGGAGCTTTTTTGAAATGAGATACCTTAAGAGAATTTGGTTTTGTTTGTGAGCTGCTGACACAGTCATAGCTTGGTCTCCATTTTAAAGAGTGATACTTAAATTAAGGCACTGAAAAAATACTAGGATTTCATCAGAAAAATAATACAAGTTTTTTCTAAATGTCAACTCTGATAAGAATTTTAAGATGGAAAACGTATTTGCCAAATAGCAGCAACATGTACAAGTTCAGACCACATGAGTGTTGTAGATCTTGTATTGATGTTGTTTCTCTGAAAACAAGCTTGTTTAGGAACACTCTCTTGAGAACATTTTTCTAGTTCAGGTTAGTTGTCATTCCCTTGTGTAACTCACGGAGGTTTTAGTGGGGTTCTGAGGCAGATGCCAAAGTACTGCTTATGGAACATGTCAAATCTGACAATTACAGACACAATATATGAGCACATCATTGTACTGTTTTCATTCACTCCTGGGTGAACAGGTCCAGACATCCGTGGATATCAGAAAGGAAAAGCTTTAAAAAAGGAATCTGTGTTGGAGGTTTTGGTCTGCTGCATTTTGTTCTGGGGAACAAAAATGTGCAGCTGTTGCCTGCTTGACCTTAAATGGAGATAATCTGGGCTTTCTCCAGGGGGATTAGGAATCTACCACTAGAACATGTTTCTTCTCAGAAATTATTTAGAGATTCGGTTGATGTTTGGAATATTGTCTGAAAAGAGACATAGCATACTGGCTACTTTATTTAAATCATAATTTAGGACTTTTATTCACATGAGTAATAATTTCCTGGAGATTATTTTTGCCTTTCTTATACTGGTTTTCAAAATTCCAGCTGTAGACACTAGCCACCTGTATAATCTGTAAAGAGTTTGAGGTGTCACCATCTGGTCCACTGATAATCATGACTATATAGAAATTGACTGCGACCCAAGTCCAATTATTTGTAATATACAGGTAAAGAAATTCAGCAATAAGTCTGAGAACTCCAGTTAGTGAGTTGTTTCATGATGCTGCTGCAGTTTTCTCTCACACTGCAAAAGTGCCTCTGTGATCTCACACAGCAGAAGTCCTTGTGTTGGCATGTTTGGTTTAACAGTAACGAAAAACTCTCATGAGGGAGAAGGAATGCTCCCACAAATGTGCATTAATTTGTGTGTATGTGGGACAGAGTAGCAGAGTTTGGTATTGAAGCTGAACTGTAAAATGAGATCATTCCTTTTTGTAACCAGTAATTTTCTGCCCTAATTCTGTGATGGGTAATTGCTTGTAGTCCTCCAGGTATTAGCAGACTTGGGTTAGAGTACTCTTCTTACTATTCTCTAAAAGAAAGGACCCAGCTAATGTATCCTTCAGTTACATTTGTGCTGCAAGCCTAATACACCCTAAAGGGAAATGGGAGCTTTTTCTTCTTTCAAAAGTACAGAAAAAGCAGCATTTCCAGTGTTGACGTGAATAGCATAACAGAATCACACCAGATAAGGCGATGGCCTAATCAATTGAGAGATAATAACTTTTTAAATGCATTTAAGGTTTTTTACTTGAATTTGATAGACTTAGCAAATTTGCTTATGTGTTTTACCTGTCTCCTTTAATGATTATCTGACTGCAGTGAATCTCGCTCACATTGGCAATCTCAATATCTTTTAGATTTATGTGGAGGAGGTTTCCTTTCTGAGGCTGTAGATGTTCCTGCTTTTGTATAGTGACACGGTCTTCGTTAGTGTTATAGGAAACAGCTCTGCTGAGAAATCTAGGCTTTGCATCATGTTATTCTCCTTTACAAACAAGATGAAATTACTTTTTGAGGCAGCAGCTTGCAAAGCATACAATTGCAAAGTGATTAAGAAAAAAGTTCAAAATAAATTAATAGAAAACTTGGTCTGAAATATTTCTCTTTTTGGGAATGGTGAATGCTCTGGTCGTACTAGTCATCTGATTTGTTACTGACCAAAGACATTTTTTGAAAGGTCATCTTGAATGTTTTCGTTTCAGTTGCTGTTACTGGCACAACCTTTAAACCATTAAAGTAGATCTCAGGGTGCAGAAGTGTGTCACGCCTGTTTATTGTCTTTGGTGCTTTGACCCAGTGTTATAAGAGAAGGGAAACAAGAAACTTTGCCTGGCTCTTGCTCTGAAAATCGACTGTGTCCTTCCTCTTCCAAAACCCTATTAGGAACCACTTATTTCATGCGGAGACAATACAATTAGCACAGACTTGACCCCTGTAGGTGCTTTATTTTGCAACAAAATATTGACAACACAAAAAGCTGTGTTCTTGTAAATACCTGGGGGCTTTCACAGCAATGAAGTTTACCTTTTTAGTAGGTTAACGAAGGTCAAATAATTTACTAGTAGCAGTTATCTTCAATGATGCCAAGTGTCTTCAAAATAGCAACATGAGACAGGATAGGAAATTCAGTAATCTTCATTACAGTGAAGGTTCTTTATTTCTGTGAAATGCTTGGGAACACTGTATTTTAGTGCTTACTGATGTCTTCAATTGGTTAAGCTGAATAATGTGCTTTAGGTGGTGTGCCGAGATCCTTATACCTAAGAAACTGTGTTGAGTGTCTTTCAGATAAACTGTTCTGGGAAACACAGAGATTAGTTGTGTTATTTGACATGTTGTGAGTGATAGATGAACAGCGGGACAAAGGCACATGAAGGAGAGATAAAGTTGGAAGACCATGTTTCAGTTGGCAAGGGGTGGTGCTGGATTATCTCCACTTGAAAGCATAACTGCAGAATTGAGGAGAAATTATTGGGCTTTAGCTTTTGCTGCTACCTATCTTCAGCTGAAAGTTGTCCTAACAGAAATGTATAAATGTTGCCCAAATTATGAATGTTTTGGCATCATTTAGAAGCTGAAAGATTCTCTTGTGCAGATTATTGCAGTGATCACCATCCGGTAGTGTGGAGGGGCAGCAGGTAGACCAGTGGCCTCAACATCTTGCCTCACAGGGAACTTAATTCAGATCAACATGGAGATGGCATAAATCAGACTTTTAAAGTGTTTTCAGGCTAATTTTCACATGGCCCTACTTTGAGATGTGGGAGCCAGAAACACCTTTCTTTCTCATGCTTGGTGTTGCAGAATGGTGTGTGTCTTTTCTTCACTTCTTCTGTCCATTGCTCTGAAGTATGGGGGGTTTTTCCCCCTTGCCTCTATCGAGTGACTATAAGTAAGACTAATTCCCATGGTGAATGTCAGCTTTCTATTGCTTTGTATCTTTGTTTCAT